TTGAGAGGGCACCCCAGCTGAGGTCATGCAGAAGCTACTCATTAATGACACTTTATGGGAAGTTTTCATTATCTGCCTGGATGATGAAATAACAAAGATTTCTATAATTTACAATTTCTTTTGAGTAAGGCAAACACTGTGAAGGGTAAGATTCAAAACAGTCTCACTTTGGAGAAACTAACATACGAAAAGAACTACACTTGAGAAAGCCAAATCAAATGCAGAGATGACAAGCGTGTTTTCTATGGAACAAATCCCTAGGCAGTTTTCAGGGGTTTACAGCAACCATGAAATCAATACAAACAATATAATGCTCTTGTGAAAAGAGCTACTGAAGGTATCACACTACAGCAGAGTCTGTACCAGCAGGCAGCCAAGGGCTGAGGTGGGAATCTGCTCAGCTCAGACTCAGTACACCTGGGCAGCCTAGTCAGCCCAATGCTACCTGACATATGGCACTTGGGTTTCTTGAAATCCAGAGCAAAGGAGTACTTTTTTTGTTTCCTTTGTAGTCTCTGAGGAAAAGGGTAGCTCTGCAAGACAGATTCTTTGACAAGTGAGTTCAGTTCAAGGAAGAAGATTTAAAAATTGGTAAAAGGTAAGCAATAAAGAAATGTACTGTGATGGAAGTTTATGTTCTGCAAGGAGGAAAGAGGTAAGAGTAATAGTTCTGAGAATAACTAGAAGTGGTGGCCTCCTAGCACAGGATGCTTTCAGAAGCTGCTATTTACATGGACTATTTGTGCCAGAATATCTCAGTAATATAGGGAGGATAATTATTCTGCTCTACTTGGTGCTGATGAATCCTCCAGCTGAAATATTGTCTGGTCTCTGGCAATGAACTGTAAAGTACACAAATGGGAGAGATTCCAGAGGATTGCAGGAAGACCAAGAGACTCAATCTATAGTAAAGGCTGAATAACTATCCTTATCCCTATTAAAGAGAGATGGCTAGGAGCAAGGAATGTAAGTATCTCAAAATGTCCATAGAGAGCTGTGACTAAGACAGAATATACTGATTACAGTATTAAAGTATTAAACAGTATTAAGTATTAAAGACTTAAATTATATACTAGGGAATCTTAGCTTGAAAGAATAACAAAGCACTCAGGTGGGACATCTAGAAAAACCAGGACTGCTGCTGTTGGAGAGTTCTAAGCACGTTAGGTGAAAATCAGCTAAGCAGTCATCCAGCTGTACTTAACCCTCCTGCAAGTGCAAAAGAATAATCCCGAGGCTCCTCCCAACTCCCCACGTTTGTGTAGTCTAAACCTTAACATATTTCACATTACTACACAAGAGACTAACACACAGTTCTTAAAAAAACATTCCACTGTCCAATAGTCACCCTAAAGATATTCTATGTAAGTAACTTAGATGTAGTGTCTTGGTTTAAGTAAAAGACCTTGCCTAAAAACACCAACTTCCAAAGTCCATGCCCTGATTTTCTCTTTTTTTTTTTTTGGCTAGCATATATTCACCTTGAATTCTAAGCCAAATCATTGGAAAGCTACCACTTGAATCTGTCTAGTGTGCTTCATTTGGCTCTGAAACAGGTTTCAAATACATTTTTATGAATCCTTTTAGTCTGTTAGAGAGTATCTGATGCAGTAATATATTTTGTGCCAAACCCCTATTTAAAACCCTAGCTTTTGACAGAGCTTATAAAGTACACTTCCATTCATCTCCAAAGAACTCACAGTATAATTGGGACTGTTCTAGAACCAAGATAACCATTTCTGGTCTTTTGTCATTCGCAGGATGTCATTGGCAGACAATAATATAAAAAAAAAACCCTCTGCCTTTCTTGTCTACTGTTCAGGTATCACATTTCAAGGAAATAAAAAAAATCCATAGATATAAATCAACTAAAATAATCTGAATAGTAGTTTTTAGCAACATGAGAGTACGAGCCCAGTACATTCCCTTCAATAATATACACCCTTTAGCAGTAAATGTGGCATTTATAGCCCATTTTGCTATTTTTCATTAAAATGCAGTCATCTTTGCTTCATCAAACAAATCTGTCACTTGAACTTAGTGCTCTGAATAAGTACAAAATAAGTACAAAAAGATACATTTATACTGAATATCAGTTTTTGATGAACTCCAGGAGCCCGGGCAGCACTCCATGTGCAGAGCACAAGCTCCACAGCCCCATCTGTTGGCTAACGAAGCGCTCAAAGCCATCTACCAGCCCCTAGCCAGCAATGCTGAAGGGGAACCAGTTCAGGTTTTGGATGAACAATTCCCGGTCTTGCCATCACAGATCTATGGTATCCGTGCATCAGTAGCAACTTTTACTACCTAAGCACATAAGAACTGAGTTTCTAATACACTTATGGGATTTTTAACTTCTTTTTAATTAGAACAACAGAGCACTCTGTGCTTAGTGCTGCTTTTTTGAGCAAGGTTGAGACTGGCTTGCTTGCATTTTCATTCATAGATAAATGGTCTATAGTGAAACTGTAGTGTTTAAGGAGTGTCCCTTGACTTATAAGCCCAAGCTAAAATTACTTGCTTTTAAAGCCAAGGGCTTGAATGTACATTTTTAAAGGCATTTACTGTAGTTTGTAAGTGACAAATGTTCCCAGCTCCTACTGACTTGTAGGGACTAAGATAGCCAGATCTTGAGCATATGGAATAGATGAAATATGACCTGCTTGTGTTAAAAATACAGAACCCAGTGACTGAGTGATTTTAAACAAAGCATCTCCTTATGTAATAAACAAAGTAACTCCTTCGTGTGACTGCAGTTCTAATGAAGAATTACAGTAGGACAGTTCTCTACAGCAAGCAGAACAAGGTGACAGTACGACTGGGACAAGTTCAAGGGCTTTTCTAGAAGTTCTAACCTATAGAAACCCACTGCAGTGAACCTATTTGTACCACACTGGAAAACTGCTGCTGCAAGCTTTAAGTTTGGTTAATGTCAGTTGTGATGGGGCTCCCAGTGCTGAAAATGGCAAGAGAAGAGGGTGGGGGAAAGGTGGGAGCTAATGCACTTTTCTTATGTAAGCACTGGTCCATTCAGAGAAATCAACACAAATCTGACAGACAGGAGAGGTGGCTGAAAGGAGGAAGTGTAGCAGATAACTCAAAACTAACATAAAACACATACATAAAAATCAGTCAGTGTTGAGAAATACTACTGCTGACCTCCTCTGTTAAATTATCAGTAGAAGCTCCCATGTACTGCCAGTGGGTGGGGGGAAGTGTGTTGATGGTGCACTCCTGCAGGAAGTACCTTATCTCAGAGTAAACTGCAGCTGTATTAAGAAGTGGAAATCAAACAGCACTCAAGGATAAACAAACAAACAAAAAAGTTTAGAAGTAGTCTGGAACTTGAGACCTACCTGCTTTCCCCCCTAAGTCAGGCTGCATACTTGCTCAATCAAAACTTAGATCCCTACCCATAAACAAAGACAATTGCTACTATAATATGAGGATAAGCAACTAAACTTTTATTCAAACCCTAATGACAATTACTCTGTCAAAGTCCCACTGAAATTTGGGTATCCTGTACTAAAATCTGGTTATCCAACTAAAGTTTCAGACTAACCGCCGTCTTTTAAGAGCTCTTTAAAGGAAAGAGAACTAACAGAGGATCTCAGTAACGCAGGATCATTTGACTCCATTATGCTCTTTTCAGTCCAAAAATGTACTTTCCTTTCAAATGACAAAATTCTTTTCTTGCTTAGGGCACAATCATAACGAGCAATCTACAGGACCTCTGAAAAGACATCAGCTGCTGAGCAGTTTGGCTCACTCATAGCTTTCCACGCTATTATTCAAAACTCCATAAAATAAATGGACTCCCTATCTCCTGTTCACAAACCTTCAGGTTTCCTATGGTCAATAAAACACTTTTCCTGCAAGAAGAGCTACAAAACTAGGCTCCTTTATGCCGGAAATGATGTATGTACACTATACTGGGAGGGAATGGCTCTCCAGCCAAAATCTTTGGGGCTTGGTAGCAAAGGAGAAGAAAGGCATTGTGTGTTTAAATTACCAGCTGAGAAGACCACAACCAAATTAGACAAATGAAATGTGTAAGGCAAGATGGAAAGGGAAGAGTCACGACAGGTCATGGATCCTGTACTGATCCACTTCTCACATCCTACCTTCAACAGACTTCATTTAAATAGACTGTAGAACCATATCATGCTGATGTGCAAGAAAACAATACAAATCTAAGCAATGACATGGGACAGACTCCACTGTCAAACTCATTCTTGAAAATAATTTAAGATTATTGTATTCTACCCCCTGCTATATATCCAACAGGCGTCAAAGTGAAGAGAACAGCATTTCAGCATGTAAAAAAGCATGGCATTGCCCTTTTAAGTATCTACTTATGATGTTTAAAGCCAACAATTGCTGAAAAAATTATTAACACCAAGTATAACTAGCAACGTGATTGAGTCTTCTCCATGTTGATTTACTAATAAGGTGTGACCTTAGACAGGGTGGGGGGATTGGAATCGGGATCCTATAACTCATGTTTTTTTCACAGAGGTGGGAAAGTAGATTAGATTATTTGCTGGAAAAACATGGAACTTATGAATGTCTTTTAAAGTGTAGCTTTGTATGATGTTTTCCCAATTTTTCAAAGAGTTGTCCTTTATCTGTACTTTTACATAGTTCTATTTTTTAATACACTTAAAGTGGAAAATTCTTCTCAGCTCTTGTATGATCTACAAACTCCCATTCAGTACTTTGAAAACGTTTGTGAGGGTTGGTTCCTGCAGTGAGGGGATTCTGCTCTTTTCCTCAGCACAGATCCTCAGAGAAAGCACTTGTATTAGCTATCAAAGAACAGCAGCAGCACTAGAAGAGCAGCAGCACACCCTGACATGCAAGAGACAAAGGTTTAGACTATGATGTTTATTCTTGCAATGTTTGAAATGTCATGTGTGCGCTTCATTCGACTCAAGTACAGAATATTACATTACTTTAAATAAACTATCCCAGGTATTGCAACAAGGTACTTAACTTACCCCTCCCATTGTAATGCCATCAATAAGTGCCACATATGGCTTCTTGCAAGTGCCTGTAAGAAATGTAAAGAAAAACAATCATGCATCTTTTTCAAAAGAGTGGACCTGTGGCTACCTGCCATGTGACACGTTTCCCCATGTCTTACTTCAGCAAGAGCAACAGAAAATAAATGGTAATTTAAACAGTAAAACATCAACTTATAATGAAGGTTGTTCATATAACTCTTAAAGAAACACCAGTTACTGACTTACTGCATTGTGAGTGTTGTAAGAGAACATTATATACAGCTATCAAATGTCAGACTGTTTGCTATGTCAGTACCTGACAATTTAGCTATTATAAATAGCTTGGTAGGACATTGGGACACAACAGTTGCCCTTTCACCCCCTGTCACAGCCTGGCTTAACAGCACAGTGTGTGTCAGCCCTTCAGTGCTTTGCTACAAAGCCACATGAATTGGCAGGTTTCAGTCAAAATGTGACAATGCAAACATGTTCTGTCTTGCCAACTCTGTTGGATGTTACAGCCCTTGAATGTGGTGCAGGCAGGTCGAGATGACAATGTCCTAAAGTACCACAGTATCAGCTACCAACTTTATCTGTTGGGGCCTTTAAGAGGCATAAAACTAAAGCCCCAATGCTTTCAATTACCATTCATGGAAGATTCACATGTTCACTGAGAATGAAACAGCTGCCTTTGTATTCAGTGTTTTCGGGTCTGACAAAGTTCGAAAAGATTGCTGATACAGGTATCCCCTGCATCCATGTTGCTAGTTTTTCTGTTACAACTATAGGTCATTGTTTAAGAAAAAAAGTATTTTAAAAGGCAGTTCAAACCTTCAAATTAGTAGTTAGAAAATGCAGCAGAATTGTGTTTTTAAATTTGTTCTTGCATGAACGTACAAGCTAATGCATGGGCTGTGGATGCTAGCCTTTGAACTAAATTTCTATAGCAGCAATCCTTGCCCACAGCAATGCTGTGAAAGCAGCTCCCCTGTGTATTTTTAAGCTGGAGAATATAAGGTATAAACGAGGTAGAAATCTCAGCCTTAAAGGAATAAAATCATGCTAAAGTTATCAAAAATCTAGGTTTTGTAATTATATTTATTATATATATTGAACACTCTAATAATAATAAAAAAGACCAACAAGAAAACAAACAAAAAACCCACACAAAACAAAACAACCCCAGACTTTTAAATTAAGTACCCTTGCAACAGAATCAAGTCCAACTGCCATAGTAATACTATGTTTTCTCCAAGTATGTGAAACCTTAAACTATTTTTCTGGCCTCCTGTTGGAGAAGGCAAGGTACATAACAAGCATGCTCAACCTAGAAACTCAAACAAAGTAAAAATAACTTTACTTTGTAAAAAGTAAAAATTACTCTTACTCTAATAACTGTGCTCTTCTGTCAATGTAAGCAACACCTTCACCTCTCCTCCTGTAGGGACTAACAGTGGATATAGTATTTAAAATCTCAAAATGTATTAAGTATGTTTGGAATAGTTTCCTCTCACCAAAATATTCAACTCCTGAGTTTTACCCTGAAGAATTAATATCCTTTCTTATTATCTCTTACCCCTGTAAACTTCATGCAGTGTTTTTGCTGTTAGTTCTTTGCAGTAAGCTAAAGAAGGTGTAACTCCTGGCCTCAGTTATGCAGTCTTAGTCTTTCATGCAGTCTATTTAAATGGAAAGCCTTAACATGATTTGATCTTCTGACTGAATATTAATGATTTTCCACATATCTATTTTTAGCTCAGGTCTTCTTATGAGGCAGATCAATGATACTTACCACAGAACTGCAGTGTCTGCAGCCAAGACTTAATTCTTCCATAGAGGAAATATAACTACCCAGAACAATGGGATGGGATAAAGCAGCTGTCACAATAGCTCAAACAAAAGAAACAAATTCTGCATGCAAGGTATAAAAATGCGATGTTACACTACTGGTACTGAAACTCAGTTAAAGAAAAATTAACTACTGCTTCCATGATGTTTTCACAGTCTTTAATAGATTAACAAAGAGAGAGAGTAAAGTTACATTCAAAGCCAGTGTTATGAAAACTGTACTGCTTCAGAAACTGCTATCAAACATACCAATGGCGTTGTTCAGCCTGTATTCTTCTTTGAAGAACTCTTGTACCAGTTTATCTCCAACTTTTCCTGCCTCTGTGATGGCTTAAGAGAAATAAAAATTCTGAAGATAACTAAGTTTAATACAAATATAAGTAATAATTAATAGAAGTAATAATAGAAATAATAATTAATAGAAAATATAAGTAACATTAACAGAAAATAATGTCACATAAGTGGGTTTTTTTTCCTACAGCAATTAAACAGAACTTAATCCTGCTTTATTATATTGTAGAAAATTTGCTCAAACTTAAATATGACTGTTCAGTCTCAAGTTAAGTCTCAAGTTTGAGTCAATTGTATTTTGCTGGAGACTCTGTCACGTACTTGTGAGAGTGTGGTCCCTTTTCTACGCTATGGAACTCCTCCTAATGTCTAGTACTCTTGTTTGTGATATTTTTCATATCAATATATAGAACATTCACTTCAAATTGATTAAGACTAAATACTAAGAATGAGAAGCCAATTAGAGCAGGACATAATTTAACAATAACCCGTGCTGCTTGGTTACCTACAGCTTAGAACAAATGCTAATTTTCACACTTCAGACATTTCCCACAGCTTATAGCTAAAAAATAATCACAGATACATTGATCCCCACTGTCAGTTCTGCATCTAGCCATCTAAAACATCAGACACACATTATCCAATGCTATCACAGCTACCTACTAGGACCCTTCAAATTCTTTGTGAAGATGCTGTCAGCAATGAAAATCTGGAAAGAGAAAGGTAGAGACAAGAACCCTCTCTCCCCAGCAATGACTGGCTGCTATCACCAGTTATTCATAAAAATGTTTATAAATAACAATTTTTACTCTTTTATACAATGTCTCAACAGCTTTCTCCTGACAAATAACTTAAGTAGTATCTGCACATCAAGGTGTCATAAGAAGTCAGCACAACTAATCTCTTACTGTTGTGTAGCAAGCCTCTGTTTACCCAAGTCACAGTAAACAAAGGAAATAAATGCAAAGTAGTAAGTGACAAAGAGATGTCAAATGTTTAAGTGACTATAGTCCTTACCTCTGATGTCACCTCCAGCACAAAAAGCTTTTCCCCCAGTTCCCTTTATAATTATTAGAAAAGTTTCAGGATCTTGCTCCCACATCTAAAAAGAAGTAAAGGTTTCCGTGTAAGACTCAAGTGTGCAAAAAAAAGGCTTTCTCTGTATACTGTCTATAATTCTTATTTTACTTTTTTTTTAAAAAAAATCAATCCATGCTTTAAAATAGTTTGTCTTAAACTGAAGTTTGAGAGCTAAACGTCTCTCTGCCACCCCCGAGCCCTTATCAGCAGTGACATCCCAGATCAGCAGAGCTGCCTCGTGTATTTCAGAAAAACAACTGTGCAGAGCTCCCAGCCCCTGAAAAAAGGCGGCACCTCCTGAAACAGGGCCTGACATCAATCCCAATGGGAACACAAGGCTGGGGCAGAAAGCTGGGAGTATTGAAGATGGATAACGATATTTCTGGCCAAATCATGAAAGCTGTGTAAATCTAAGATGCCTGGCAAAGAAATCAGCATTTAAATTTTTGATGGGTTTTGCCAAAATGACTGCAATCTACGCCAGTGAAGGAATGGATCAAATCCCTTTGTCCACATATGTTTTGTTAGGTATAAAGACTATGGGGTTTGGATTTTTTCTTCTCCTCAATTAAATGCACTGGTACCTGACTTCAGCAGAGGTGCAGCTGTAAGAGAAAAAGATGCCTTTTTCAGGCATTCCACCCTCCCTCTTAAACTGTTTATATGTCACTTAATTAAGTGAACCCAGATAAAAGAGAAACATGAGAAACATGATATTTCTGTACACCAGCAACTGCACTTAAAATTATGACACCTTTTAAGGCTGTGCTTCAAACAAAGCAAGGTGCTCAGTACTACAGATTAAGTATTTCTTTCTTTAAATATTCCCCAAGGAGTGCACAAATTTGCAACACAACCACCTATTAAAATACCAAAAGGCAGGCAACTATCCAACTGGTATCTAATGAGTTTGTGCCCATGATAAACAGTACCATTAAATTAAAAATGACTATTTGCATTCTTGAAATCTCACAGTACTTCACTAGCTTGTGGAAACAGTGCCTGTAAATCCATGAATTCCGCATTTAAGGAATGATGCTGACAGCATCTTGCTTCCTAATGGTTTGTACCTTTTATTTTAGCCACGCAGCCTCCCCAAAAAACATGCATCCAAGAGGCAACACCACTGTATAGACTGAAATTTGTGCATGCCAACTGACCAGCTGGGTGTTGCCTAAAGGAACATACAAATGCTTGTTTTGAATTCAGTTCTGGTACTAATATGGATGTTCATTTATCCATGGAGATGCTAAATTTAACTTTGTCTGACAGCTTGTTTCTTTGATGTTTTCTCTTTCTAACTTGCTTGAAACTGTCTCTTCTCATCCTATAAATCTGAGCTCGTTGGCCAATGCACTCACATAGACTTTCATTCTTTAAATCAGTATACTAAGAAGTGTCAAACTGTATTTTAAAATTGGTTTCAAATGAGATATGTATAGTGGATGGGGAGAAGTGGAGATACTAACCTTTAGTTGTGGGTAAATTTGTTGGATCATAGGAAGATTTAGTGCATTGAGAGCCTTGGGTCTATTCAAAGTTATTATGCCTGCACCTCCTCTCTTTTCCAACAACACTTCAGCTGTTGAATCTGTTTGGTTTGACATTTTCTGCACATGCAAAACCAAATAAATATAGCAAGTGTCATCAGTCAGATAACTTGAGTAACAAACAAAAGTGTTTATGGAAATATATTCTTAAAATTCATTATTTAAGACCATAAAACATGCATTTTGCAATTGTATACTAATTGTACACTTTCCCACTATGCTTCAAGTTTTATTTGCAGTTCTTTTGAAACTGCTTCGTGTTTGAGGCCCTCAGAGTAATAAATCTCAGGCAACTTTTTTGGCCACACATCTTTAACAATGACATTTGAGATAAGTGAAATTAAGAAAAACAACCAAACAAAAACCAACCAAACAAAAAACACCCAAACATCAATATAAAACCACAATTCCTTAAAACTGACATTCTGAAAATACCTGCAACTATTAGAACAATGACAGTGCCATGTGTGCCTACTGGCAGTTTGACACTCAAATGTACACATTGCTTTGTCTGTAAGTAACTTTTAACAGTAGAAAACAAATCAGTGAACTATTTTCACAATTGATTTCAAACTCACAGTGGGACGATATTTAAGGAATTTACAGAAGCTAACGCAGAAACTATCTATAAAGGTAAGTAAAGCCAAAATAATTAAGCTTTAATTTACAATATAATAGAAACTTTTAACAAAGTGCTCAAAGATGTGGACAATACTGTGCCTAAGCAATAAATGACAGCTTTCAGAACCACAGTAAGCAGACACATTAGAAGCTGCATGTGCTGTCTGTCTTGAGGGAGTTAAGGAGTCCTGAAAGCTTCCAATTCAGTCAAACAAGATGCTGTCCTTACCAAATGTTGTAATATTACTTGCAGTCTGTTGACTGTCTTCAACCTAAAACAGAAATATTAAAAAGACAGCTAAAACCATAAACCAGCCACACAATCCCCAAATATCTGACTGCTGGGTTAGGCAAAGCAGTGGCAGAAAAATTTCTGAATACAAGTGTTTTACATGCTCCTTTTTAAAACCAAGCAAATTAGGGTACAATTTTGTTATCAAAACAGTTGCAAATTCCTTGCTTACTAGTAAATAGACAGCAGATACCAATGTCAACTACTAATGTTTTCAAGTCAGGAGAACCTGGAAAGACAGAGGGTTTGGGGGATATGAATGATAGTTAACAGCGTGTGTCCTTCAAAGATTTACTGCCTTTTTCTGAATGTTTAAATAGTGGCACTAAAAAAAAAAACAAACAAACAAACCAAAAACAGTCTTGTTAAAACCTTGTGTATTTCCAAAGGTTCCATTGCACAAACCTGCCCTCATGTGTACATGTATTTACACAGTTTGTCTAACAGCTCCCACAGGGCTCGAGTTTCTGTGGGTGACAGGAGAGATCCACACCAGGGCATTCTGTGCCCCTGTCACTGGTTTTATTTCTTAATTGTCGCTGAGGAAGGCAGCTATCGATGGCGCTGCCCAGACGCCAGACCCCTGGAACGAGGAACTTAAGCGCACAAACCCAGCCAACTACAAGTTATATGTTAATGCCCCGGCATCCTACGCTGTTTTTAAATCGCATGCTCGCTTTAGCACGGGAAAGTCAGCCCAGGCCTGGCTAATCTAGGCCTAAGTCGCGAGGCACAGCAGCTGCGGGGCCGCGCTCCGCGGCCGGCCCGTCCCGCCTGCCCCCGGCTCTCGCCGGCGCCATTTCCCGCCCGCCGGGGCGGCCCCGTTACCTGGGCAGCGCGCGCAGCACCCGCCCCGCCATGGCGGCCCCGCCGCGGCACAGCCGGCACCGGCGCGCGGCGGCCCCGGGGCGGGACGGGCGCATGCGCGGGGCTCTGAGGGGACGCCGCCGCGTCCCGGACCGGGAGCGGCTCCTCCAGTCCCGGGACTGGCTCTGCGGAGCGATCGCCGATCTCTGGTCCCCTTTCCCCGCTCGCCCTCCCGCCCTCGCTACCTGACGGGGGAGCCCGGAGGTCGGCGGCCGCCTGCTGCCCCTATCCCCCCGAACAACCCCTTTGCACAGGTAAAGGCAGGTTCCTTACCTGGGGTTTTCCTACCTGTTCCCCGTCCGGAATGAGGCCGGGAGGTGTGAGGGCGCGAGGTGATAACAGTCCCTCTGTCAGTGAAGCAATGATGCTGCGTGTAGCAATAACAAACCATGCTTGCTGCTGCCCAAAGTGGGGCAAGCTGGCGTTGCCAAACTGCCTTCAGAGAGCAGCTTTGTGGACTTAGACTTTATTCTAGTGGTTTGTTATTTTCAGCAGTAAAACCGGTTTCTTAATTTCAGACCTCCTGGTTTCTCTTCATCCCTTGTACCCTGTGGACACACCTGTGCTGTCCCACACCCCCAGCTACTGACACAAGATAGCGAGTGAGGTGGGATTAAGGAGCTGCTCTCATGTGACCTCGCACTAAGAACTGCTTGTAAGTGAAGGTGAATACGTGGATTAAGCACTAGCATGGTTACTGCCCTGACAGCAGCTCAGACAGCTGTGAGCTCCAACACAGCATGTGTGTGTTCTGCATAAAAAGACTCAGAAAATGCAAATGGGAAAATTGCCTCTTTTTTTTTAATTATTATTTATATTTTTAAAAAAATCCAAACAGAGTATTAAGGCACTTGAGAATTTATGGCCATCATGTTAGGAGTTCATAGTGCTAAATTCACTTTGATTTCCATAACTAAGACCATTCCATGAATTTTGTTTCTCAGGCTTGACATGATCAGCATGAGACTGATACTGAAAAGTGTGACGAACTATGGAATAAATGACAATAAAGTGCACTAGGCAGAAATGTGGGTTCATCACCTCTCGGTGTAGCAAGTTCTTAGCACCAGCTGTCTTGACTCACATTAGTATTAAAAAAAATCCAAATAATCTTAAAACCTTTAAGCTAATATATTTTGCTGGAACAAAAAAATCCCAGCTCTCAGAAGCACTTCTAAAAAAGTCCCCAGAGGGCAACCTTGCTCTTCGTTTCGAGAAATGATTCAGCCTCTGCTTAGAGCAGCGTCATCTGTGTTGGCACTTCCATTGCAATGACTCTCAGGGTGTATTAAATTTGGTTGTAAAAGTCTTAATCAAACTAAATATGCATAAAAAAAAAGATACAGAACATGTGTGTATTAATGCAGTCTCAGTTTTCAGTCTTGCACGCTCTGAACAAAAAATAACTGAGAACAGGACATGAGGTGCTTTTGCAGTCACTGGGAGACTGCTACAAACTAATGATTTGCAGAATTCATTAGGCAATCCAGACTATTAAAACTTTCACCTAAGGGTTATATGATAATCAATGATGTAGCTTATTAGAGTCATCTTGACTATATACAGCCCTGTATGCTGCTTTACACCAAGTACCATGAAATTAAATCTAAACCAGTCTAGAGGACACCAAATTATCCCAGTTGCCAAACTTGAACCCTGACTTAGATACATATTTTAATTTATTTTTTTTTTTGAGAATAGCTCTACATCTCTCATCCAGGCCTAACCAATAATGGGGAGTCTGATAAGCAGGTAACATTTTTGTTCTTCATATCCTATGTCTGAAAGTCTGTGCATTTCACAGACAAATAGAAGTAGAACCTTTCTGTCAGATAATCTTTTTGCTAGCGGTGGTGTGGAAACGAAGCAATGGGTGTGAGGAAACTAACCTTGGGTAAGAGCAGGTGGAGGCCGTCTGAAACCCCTGGAAATCTCTTAACAAATCCCATTTGTACGTGGGCAAGGCTGTGATCAGGCCATGATTTCATAGGGTGTCTGTTTCAAGGGTCCAAAATAGAAGTTGGTGATCTGATTCTTCTTTTACTTATGCTGATTTTAAACTATTCTCCCTCTGAGTTCAGTATAAATAATGGTGTAGACCCTTTCTCTGTGGTATTCCAGCTGTAGGTCTGATTTAGGGCAAGAGCAGGGCCTACTCATTTTTAAGCAATGAAGTAGCAGCAAGCATTGTCTTGCAACAGTTGCTGATTTCTTTCCGTGGTGGTGACACTGAATTTATGCTCAATGTTTTCTTAAAAATCCTTTCTTTCTTTTTTTTTTTTTTTTAATATAAATTGCTTTCAAGAAGAAGGGGTGGTGACAGAAGAGCCATCTTCTTTGAGCTTAGTGTTCTTCATTTTTAAACATGCTGGTGATGGCTTGAATTTTCCTACAGTTTTTTAGGGGGGTGCTAGGTGTTAGGAAATAGTGATTTTATCACAGACGGCCATTTAGTTGACTGCAATCCCGTCCAAAAAGTAACTCGCATATCATTCTGCTTTTTCGTAGTTCTCCTGCACACCCCATTTTTTGCAGAGTGGAATATCAAAGAGAAAATGTTTTCTAAAAGGTAAATAAAAGACTTCTATAAGGAGAAATAGGAGGAAGAGTGAAAATAATGGAGTTGCTTGAGAATAAGTGGAATGAGATGACCTTTAGCCTGGGAGTTTGTGGATGATTTAATATTGGCAAAGAGGGCTGCAAGAGACTGGATATACTGGAGGTGAGCAGCACACCTAGTAACCAAGCCAGGGACTCAGGGAGTACAAGTGCCATAGCCAGAAGGATAAGCAGGTTGTAATTCCTCCCCCTGGAAAAATTTCCTGGCAGTGCACTCAGCAGGTTTGGAAAGAGAAAACAACTTGCAGACTGTAGGAGGACTTCAGAATTGAGCAGATGTTTTCAGGTTTTGTTTCTGGGGTTTTTTGGTTTCTTTTCCAGAAAAAAAAAATAACTTTAGAATGCGGGAACTCTTGCTCCCTAGAAGGATTCCAAGAGCAGCTCAGCTGCTTTCTGTGTGCCACCTGCATATCCCTAGTTAATCATTAACTTGTGCCTCTCAGTTGGCTCTGAGAGCTCCCCGTGTACTTGACCAAGACCAGATAATAAATGGTACAAGTACTTCATCCTGTCCCGTGCTCCTGTGTCCAGGCTTGCTGTAAATTTAATCTTTTCCTCTGCTGGTCTAATAGCTGGTACCTAATTGCTCTGAGTGTGGGTAGCAAGTGCATCCTTACAGCGTGTGAAGGTAAGGAAAAATGAGTCTGTGAAGGCTTGAGGAACAGAATGGGAAAATTTCCAGCTCATCCCTGCTAACTCGTTATTACTGTGCTGACAAACAATCCTCACATTGTTATTTCTCAGTCCAGACTCAGTTGGCAGCACTCTAAAGCACCTCCACAGGTGACACAGGCAGAAATTTCCTTGTGCCAACTTGGATGCCAAATACTAAAGCAGTGGAGAGGCTTCCAGTAATGTCATTGAGAGCAGAAGTAGCCTTAAAATAAGCAGAAAACTAATCTGTTCCTCCAGTCTCCAACAGTAGGCCAGCCCAGGGAGGGACTGAAACACCAAAAACACCTATGAAATATGGAGAAGGAAAATTTTGCTTTTGTCTGTAAGATGAGTAATCTCATTGTACAAAGTGCCTTCCCTGGGGCTCCATGCAACATCTGAAATCATAGATTTGGGCTGAGGGCACAGCTAATGGCATGCAGGAGTGAATTCCTCCTGTTACAAGAAAGTGTGTGAGGAAGGAGGGGGAAAAAAATCAAATTTTTTTCCCCCCTTTTTTTATTTCAACAGTTAATTTGCATCTTATCAGTGGGGAACTAGAAGTGTTTGGAAAAGGATGAAAGCAAATCCATAATGAAGCTGTGTGAGCGAAGTACTTTCCATTTTCCTTTGGCCTCAGAGGGCACCGGGGGAGAGTGTGGGGGTGGCTGGGTGCTGCTGCAGATGCTGCCGTGTTGATGAGACAGGGAGGGAGGATCCGAGCGAGGTCCATCCACCAGCGAGTTCCTCTCCTCCCACCAGCCCGGCTTAGACATACCACTCATGCTGCATCCACCCTGCCAGTACTCCCCGGGTTAGACGGGACCCTGGGCAAACACCCGCCTACATCTTTCTTCCCTGCTGCCACAAGCAATCTGTCATTCCGCTCCTCGAACCACCCTCCACCTACGTACAAAGCCATAACTGTGAGGAACGCCCTCTTCCCTCCTCCTTTCCCTCCTCACGAGCCTGTTCTTCGTGGGTGAAAAATGCTGTCTTCCCAGAGATCTGGTCACCCCCGAATTTGGCTTTGAGACCCAAGCTGTTTGATACCTTTTAGGACCACAGCTTGGAAACCTCCGCTTGCAGATCTATTGTATTAGTTTTTCAATTGCACATAATTGCACATGTGCAGGTGGGAAGGGGCTATTTGCTTCCCACTTGCTCTGATATGCCTCCTTCCCTAAGAGGGCCGCTTCCTTCCCTCCCTGCTCTTGGCTTCCCACGCATTCAGCAATCAGAAATGCTGCAGAAAACTGACCAGCTACCAACCCGCCCACCTGAGGAGGAGGAGCACTAGCAGCAGCAGCAGCACATTTCTCTCGCTCTCAGCTTTTTAAACACAGTTAAAAAGAGCTGTGGCGTGGGTGAAAATAGCTGTAGGGAGTGTGTGTGGGAACGGGGCCAGAGGAAAGTGAATTTTCTCTTGGTAGGACAGTTAACTTCTAGTGGGCCAAAAAAATCCCCCAAGGATATCTTAACTGCTGAGGGTGTCTTTGGCTGTATAATTAGTTCTTAAGGTTGAGTTTCCCAGGTCTGGAAAGAATGAAACTTGAGTTTCTCTCTCCCTGGTAGTGCAAGTGATGGCAGGGAAGCTTGCCTACCAGACTCCAGGAGTCTGCTTAGCAAATGATATCTGTATTGCATCCCGTTGTGTCATCACGTCTGTTGTGCTGCTCTCGATGTGTGTGCTCAATTCTGTGAGAGTCAGAGCTGCCTGTATGTAGGAAGAGAAAAAGGCACGTGGTTTTTTCACACAGTGTGGGTCTGTATTTCAAAATACCGTCCCTGTTGGACCTCTTGAAATAGCACTGTCCCAGAATATCAGTTAATTCAAGATTTATTCTAAATGTGTGCTTCTAAAAGAAATTAAATTCAGGCTTATCTGTGTTAACAGGATGTTATTTGAGGTGTTTTGCTGGTATTAAATGAAAATAGCAGTGGCACTAGTATAGGAAAGCAGAACTTGTAAGACTAGTGGTATAGAGTGCAAAGTGATAGTGCTGTTTCTTGATAGACTCCAAGAACTAAGGGTCCTCTTCAGCTTTGACATTCTGACTTGTTTTGACTTATCCACCTGAAATACAGGTTTCACAATATGTATTCCTAGTTATAGTCATCCCAGCTTGAGTTAGTTGCGTGCATTCTTCTCAGTCCAAAACTCTACCCATACACTGATTTTTGACTAGATTTCACACCAGCATCAGACTTTCCATATACGTTACTGATGCAGAATCTTATATCAGGATGTGGTCTTTAATGGTTCAGACATGCAATAACGGCCAAATAATGAAATTTGACTTTGAAAGTATGGGAGATCTAAAAACAAATATTGCACAGGGCATGTAATTTTCTCCTTGTGAGTAGAAACCTCAGGCCTGGGAAAGGGGCTCGCTGACTTCAGTGCATGTCCCCCACCAGTCTGTCTCCTGTAGCTCTGGAGATTTAACCCTAGGGTTGGAAGGAAAAATGTAAGCATAATTTGTTCCACTGATCAGCTCAGAAACAAAGGGAGTTATGAATAAGCCTAATTAACACATTTGCATGTGACAAAACAGCTGATGGACTTATGTTAGCAAGAGCTACAGCAGTATCAATGGAGATGTAACCTTAATGGAACTAATTATCCTGGGTTTTTTAAAGTCTTATTTATGAATGGTGATTAATATTTTTAATATATCTTCGTTACCTTCCACTGAATCTTATGTAACTCATAATTATAATCTACTGGAATTACATACCCAGCCTAAGGAGGAACAATATTCCAAATAGCAAGTTCATGTCACTTGACTGATTTACTTTAAAACATTGCAGTAATTCCTTTGTCAGTAGCATTTTGAAGAACCATTGGCCCGCTTGTAATTCTACCTTGCATTTAGCATTGGTTCAGTTAACTTTAAAGGTAGTGCTTTTCATACCTTTAATATCAATGAATGTACATCATATTTTAAATGCAGATTATATGCTTATCTTGCCAACTACCATTAGCCTGAAATTCTCCTTGTATGATCTATTGTAGTGGAATTATATTATTCAAGAAGCAGTAAAAAAACCCCACAACCCAAAACAAAAGAAGAAGAAAAAAGAAAAAAACACACCAAAACCCCACCAAACCCTAAATACTTAGAATCATTAAAAATTATTCTGAATCAGTCCTGTATGTAAGATTCCTCTTGGCCTCCCCATTTTGTCTGTTGTTCAGCTGGAATGTCACGTGATGTGGTCTTGAACCATCTGCTTCCCTCTCAGGGGTCATAGTGAATGCCTAGTTACCTATTTTGTTTCAGTCAAAATCACAGTGAATTAAGCACAAAAGCATTTGATGCTAATTAGTAGCTTTCTGACAGACCAGGAATTTGAGCACCTCAGATGTTTATTTCAAGACTTTGTTACTCTAAATTAAAGTGAGGCTCTTCAGCAGGGCAGTTTGGCTGACAGAGTGACAGTATCTTATTTAAATGGATGTGGTGTATTCAAACCTTTCCATGTTTCTCATCTGACACCTCACACAGGTATTAATTTTCCCTTGAAAAGATCTACATTTGATTTTAGAAGTAAATATTAAGAATATTTTTTAAAATTTCTTTCTGTTTTGTTTCATTCTGGAGTACAATGAAAACTGTTCATAAAATAATGAATTGAAGAACATTGCCTAGGGAGAGATATCTCATTTATTGCCACAAATGATGCAAAGGACAGCAAAGCAAATTGCAGAACTTAGAAATGAGGGAAAAAATAGATCAGGAGAATAAATAGAGGCCTTTAAGCTATTAGGAATAAGCATATATCATTCACTGCTGCAGATATATTCTGTTTATATGTATAAATTATCAGCATCCAATATGGGCTAATAATGATCTTCAATGCAACTCAGTTTACCAGCTCTGTGTATAATGATTAACCTGGTGGAAAGGATGTGTAGCAAGTCAGAAGGAAAAGTGTTTGTTTGTATTTTTTTCTTTTTTTTTTTCTTTTTTTTTTTTTAAAGAAATGTGGTCATCGTGGATCATAAACAAACCTGCAGTGGCAGCGACAGGGACAAGTACTTGGTTCCTTGAGCACTTACTGAATGGACATAGTTCCCCAGGGATATCACTGCCCAATGAAGAAAAGCAGTGGCAGCTGTGGCAGGGCACAATAGAGATCAAAATTGTTCACAAGGAAATACATGGTCTCCAGTATCATTAGTTCCTCTCTGTAATCTCACTCTTGGATTTCATGCTGCCACTGGTTCTCCTGTCCAGAGCCAGGCTGTCCAGCTCTCACTGTGTCTCTGCACCAGCAGGCTGGAATGGAGGTGCATCCTCCTAAGAGCACTACATGGGAATATATATATAATTATTTCAGAAATAACATGGAACTCAATGTGATTTAGTCATACTTTGACACACCTCTGTCTGCCAAGAAAAATGCAGGCATTCCCTTATAGAACTGTTGCTAAGAGCACTTCTTCAGGCTCTAGGAGTGAGAAGGTGCTTTATTGTATGGTTAACTGCAGGAGTTAACAGCAGGGTTTCAATCTGGGACCTGCCAAGAAATAAAGCATGTAATTACAGGCTGTGCTTCTGCCTAGGAGATGTCACACCATGTAGAATTAGTCTGGGACATTATTCTGTAAATTTAAGACATTTTGAAAAGTGATTTTACTGACATTTGTAGCCTAAAAAAAAAAAATAAAGAAGAGAAAGTTCTGGCCAGCACCAAGAAGAAACATCTCTTGTTTGTTTTATTCTAAATTTAAATTATTTTCTAAGAAAGCAGAGACTTTATGTTAAAAAAAAAAAAATCCATTTTCAGTCTGAAATGTTAATGGAAATTTTTTTCCCCATGACTGAGCAGAAGAATCATGAAACATATTTGGTCTGTGCTTTCCCTCTCCTGTGACAGCACTAACATCCCTGTAGCTTCTGTGAGCCCTTTGGAACATTCACTGTCAACAAGTTACCCTCCTAGTAAGAGACAGCTGAATTTTGCAGGTCTGACGTCTCAATTACAATACCAACCTGCAATTTTCAACATATTTCAAATAGTCAGAAGAAGCAGACTTTGAGAAATAACTCTGTAGCTTTATCACTATTCTGCTTTAGTTTTCACTTCTGTATTTGACTGTCCCATCGTAATATCAACATTAAACTTAGAGCTGAAACAGAAAGATGCAATACACTGGTGATAACAAATCTTTTCATTGCTCCTGTTATTGAGCTAAAGCATAAATATAGTTTATCTGTATGTTTGTGGTGCATATGCCACAAAAAAACGCATAGCACAACGACCCAGGATTATAGGATCCAGAGGAAGAGGATTCAGATGCTTTGATTCTGTGTTGCTTTACAAATCAAGACATGGAATATATTTTCCACTTCTTTAAGAAAGAAAAGGTGTTCCATAAACTGTTATAAACAGATATCCAACCAGGGCCTTCTATATGTGTTAGAAGGGACACGTGCTTTTTCTTTCTAAGCAAATAATTTGACCGTGGCTTTACGTGTGAGCCTGTAACACTGCCATCTATCAGCTGCTACCCAGTTCTGCAGAAGGAAATGAGCCTGTTTTTTTAGCACAGGACAAACAAATCCACAATGTATTAAAATGCACTCACCTCAGCTACACTCCTTTCCTCGGGAGTACTTCAATTATCTTTTTTTTTTTTTCTGAGATAAATAAATTTCCCACCTGTCTAAGAATTTCTCACCGTCTTCACTTTTTCAGTTTAAAAACCCTAGCATTTACAGAAGTAAGAAGCCCCAGACTTTGCCAGGTCCTCCAATACGCAGTTTCAGGAGGTTGTAGCGTGTTTGCAGAAGCAGTCAGCTGCCTGTTACACAGGAACCGTTTGCTTTTGTTAGTTATTCACAATCAGCAGTCATAATGCTTGTAGGTAACGTAATTACTCACCACAGAATGACTGCAACAATGGACTGTGACTTCCTCACTGCACAACAGTGCACAACCAGAAGCAGATCTCTCAGGAATATGTGGTGTTATTTCTAGAAGGTGTAGGAAAACATCCTCCCTAGAAGGTGCCACTTCATCTTAAATACCTGGAAACCTGTTGCCAAAGACTACAGTGATCCCCACTGTTTAACCTTCACCTTTCTTGTTTAAGAAGGGGAACTTTGCAGATCCGTGACAATCTTTCACATCTGTCTAGTATGTAGGATGTGGGCACTATTTACTTATCTCAGAAAAAAATACAGCTCAGATGTGCTTTTAAAGAGTCTCACCAGCTAAATTGAAACCGTAGTTCACTTTCAGTCTTGTTTCCCGGAGAGGCCTGGGTTAATTAGTAGCCAACTTTCCAATACCCATTTCCTCCTTTGTTGCCTTTTCCATATAAACCATGTATATTTGTTCAGCCACTGCTGTTGCAAGATCACCCCCACCCTGCTCAAGTCCAAAGGTTTACCAGTTTTGTTTAGCTTATAAATATAAGAAGGAGTAAGATAAGACAGGTTTTGTAAACAAATTATTGCGTTCTATTTTAGTGATACTGCATTGACTTAAAATTTGGTGCTGTTGGGTCAAAATTTAAAATACATTGCAGTCTTTGAAATTCTCCTCTAGTATTACTACTTGGAATGGTAGTTTATTCTTAAATTAATAATTTAGAAAGTAAGTAAGAGATACAAGGTAGATGGACAACCTATGTGTGATGTACATTTATGTCTATCCACGTTTTCATTTTTGCTAACGGAAATTATAAATAACACACTTTACTGGAGAATTTTCAAGATCAGAAATCTTACTTCTCAGAGGGCTGTCTGAAGGGTTTTGAGGCATCAGGAGGGCTGACTCACCATTGTGCTCCACAGTGCTCAGTTTAATTGTTTACCTTTTTTATTCCACTACAACCTGAACAACAAAACCCCCCTGCGGTTCAGAGCTGATGGCATTTGCACTCTCTTTAGTGATATTATTCAGCACACGTGCTACAGAGAAAGAAGGAACTGAGACCTTAGGCTTTCCTTAACATTTCCTGATGTTGCTGCTATCAGTGGCTAAGGCTTTGGAAGACACAAGGAACACTTTACTGCTTTTCTCACTTAGATACAAGTGAGAAAACCGATGACAAGAAGGGGCCAGCTGCTCATAGTTTGGTCTGGCTTCTCCTTCTCACTCATATACTAATGGACCTGCACTAGTAGGAAATGCTACTGTTTTAAACACATTAGAATGGCTCTGCCATTCAGGAATAGGAAAAATGCTTTCCCAACTCAGTGCATCTGTAAACTATTGTTTAAGGCAAAGTATGAGGATTAGTAACAGTTACTACAAGGTGGCCCAAGGAACTAGAGGGCCCATGACACCAGCAGTGGCCCAAAGGTGAGCTGCAAAACCAGACCTAGTGTTTACATGAAACATTTAATTATAAGTATGCATGATATTTTGAAAAACTGAAGGGAAAATAAACTGTGGTACAAAATGTTAGAGAACTAATAATTTATTGTTATTCTAGAATCTTTTAATTGTTCCCCAGAAGATTGCAGGTTTTAGTAAACAAAAAGTCTAGTAACCTGGGGATTTCTCTTCTTTGCATGTGTCCAGCCTCCCCCAGAATTTGACAAGCTTTCGGCATCCACAGTATCTTTGCAAGGTTTTGACAGGTCTCCGACCAGCTTAATTTGATTTTTCCTATTCCACATATGAGAAGAAAGAGTAAATGAATTTGCTTTCTCCAATTCAGGACATCATAAATCTGCTTTATCCCTGCTAATTTGCTTCTTTTTCTGACTGGTATATACTAGACTACTCAACTGTTCCAGGCAGAGGAGTCACTCCAAGCTTTTAAGCATCCTCTCTGTACCTTTTCCAACACTAAAATAGTATTTTTTGAAATGAGGAAAACATCCTGATTTTTTTTCCTGTCGTGTTTATGGGATCCATGCCTGAATTTTTCTGCAGGTGAAAAAAAAAATCCATATATTATGCTAAAACAGAATTATTTCTTACTTTGCAATTGGTTTTGCACATATTTATTTTTTCCTCCCTCATAAGTGCTTTGACAATTTTGAACCTCCTGGTAACAAACAGTTAACAGCATGTTGTAGCAAGACAAGAAATCCTCAGGGAGCTAGGTTGTACATCCTAAAAGCAGATAAAATTGTCCAACCCTACAGGCAACAGACCTTTTTTCAACTATTTATAGAACAGGGGGAAGAGAAGGGAAAGAAGAAAACGAATTAGTAAATGACTTTAAAAAGCATTTAGGTACTTAGAATTCATAGTTGATGTGCTGATTTAGGAAGTCAGGAGGTATGACATAGAAAAAAAGGTAAGAAACATTAATACTGTTACACAGACAAAGACTATTTTTTTCTGCTTTTGTCACCTTCCCGTGTTTTGGGTTTTTTCTCTTCCCACCCCACCATTTCAAAGGCATATCCTTAGAATGACGCATCAATTTTCTGTCTGCTTGAGGTTTAGAAATAGCTGAGTTGTTATAAATAGATCACAATCTGCAAGAGACAAAGAGAATGCAAATACTGTAAAAGCTTGGCTGAAAAATTTAGATGTGGATTGAGATTTCGGCTGTCTCCTGGAGTACAAGCACTCGGTCTGAAATGCTCTATTAACCACAGCAGAGGAGCCCGTGCTCTGTGTGCAGCAGTGGGGAACAGCCAGGTGGAGTCAGGCAGCACTCCTGGTCACGGTGCCAAGCAGAGAACGACGGCCCCGGGAGCTCACAGTTCCATGACGTGGGAAGGAGGCACCTTGCCGTTCCTTATTGCACAGCTAAAACACAAGAGGCAGTTACCCTTTTATACACTGCAGAGCCACTAAGTCAGAAGGTAGAACTTTGACACCATCATTTTTCTGGCAGTACTCGTGTACTTTGAATCTGTAGTGTTCGTCGAGTTTGCTCCCTCTTTCCACTTTGCCTCCAAAACATCTTAATTTTAGTGAGATGTTGTAGCATATGGTTGAAACCCTGTCTTTGTCCAACAAGACAGTGAAAAAATAAAAACTGGGAAACAGTGGAATATCCCTTGTTTTCTGAGTACTTCCTTTGTGAGGTCATTTAGATCCTGCTGACGCTTTCAAACAGACTTTGGAAGACAAGGAGTTGCCCTGCACTGAAACCTGATACCTGGGAGTGGTACTATTCCTACAGCCATATACAGACAGCTGAAGTCCATTTTTTTGTCTTCGACTGTATAATTCTGTTAGAAAGCCTGAGAAAGATGCTTTGGTGACTGTGAGTAAAACAAGACATTAAATGGAAGGGACAAACTTTCTCTAAGATTTTCTTCTGTTTTGAAGAGAAACTGCTCCCTGAAACCAGGCTGGGTTTCACAGTAGCTATATCATGGCAACAGACTTGACGTAAGCTATACTTTCTAATTCTATGCCAAACACAATGTCACACCACTAATGCAGGGCCTGGTCTTGCCCAAGTCTGTCTCTGTCATTGGTTCTAATAGAAGTTTAGGCCAATACACACTGCAGAATCAGGTTCTTCAAACTTAAATTAGCATTCTCTTGAAAACTAAACATATGTTGGGTTTTTTTTCACTGTCAATAATTTTGTTTCCAGGTTTGGAAAAGAAACACTGCTGGGGAGGAATCCAATGAATTTATTAATGAGCTCAGTAAGTATGGAACTATTAATATCCTCTGAGATTTTGTTTGTCTTATTTTTATCTTCAACTTCAGACTCTGAAGTAAACAGCTGTTCTGAAGCTTTCCACTGAGAATACTACAGTATGCTGTCTTAAATACATTGTGATTATTTGGATGTTGTAGGAAAAAAGTAAATAGCTGTGTACAATATTTCTGAAACAATTTGTACCATTACATGAAGTCTTTATCTCATGTTACACTGATAGCCAAAAAGAAAACAAAAACATTTAAAACATTTCTTGTATGTTATTAATGATTTTTCTTTCCAGCCAGAAATCTGAATACAAAAGGGGAAAAAAAAACCAAAAAACTTTATTTTCTAATACTATCAGAGAACATTTAATCTGCTATTACCATTCCATGGCATGACTGGCAATATAGTTTACCTGTCTTTAACATATTTTCAATAGTTGAGTGCTTCTATTTGTCTAAAAAGCATCTATTTATTTCTTGATCACTTTGATCAGATACTGCTTTGAGTCTCAGTGGAAATGACGTCTGTGGCACTGACGTCCTGACACTTAAGTACTGAGGTCCTTTGTTCTTTACACAGAGGAATATCATCTCGAGAGTTTGAGAAGGGCATCAATAAGTTGTTCATTGTTTTTACACTTTGAGGAGGGGGGACTGTTTGAAATTCACCTTGAAACTAAATTCAAGTGCCAGTATCACGTGGATGTCCTCTCATTAACCAAGACATTAAAAGAGGTTAACCCATCAGTTATGCTGGAGGTCATGGGATGAAATATGGAATAAAAAGATCAGTATGCTTTTGGGGAAAAGAGGTCAGATGGCTAACACTGACTCCCTTCTGTATGAAAAGTGACATTTACTGCTCTTATTTATAATGAGACAAACTCAGCTCTACAGTGAGTTAGATGTGAGGCCTCTGAAGTCAGCAGCTAGCCTTGGTCTGAATTTGGTGCCATGTGTCCCTCAGTACAAAAGATTTTTTCGATGCTTGTGTCACACGAGTAGTTCTCATCAAAAATCACATTTACATGTACTAAACAAAAATGCCTGTCTTAGTCTTGGTCTAGGTTTAGAAAGCTACACTGTAGAAGACCTGCATTTAATCAGAATCTGATTAAAAAAAAAAAACCCAAACCAAAAAAAAACATGTCGGGTAAAAAGTACTCGGAGTTATCACCATGTTTTTAGACGTATAAATGGTGAGAATCCTTGTATTAAATGAGAGGAGTATGTAGTGCCGTCTAAAATCAGAAATTATTTTCTGCAATAGTTTTTCAACCTGTAGAATACCGAACCTCAATTAAAATTTGTTTGGGCCAGGGAATATTTTGCTGTGCAGTGGCATTATATTTCCTTTAAAAGCTATTCTCAGAAATTTAATTTAGTCAAAAAGCTGAGAACTCAAATTCCCATTGACCTGAAGTCACTGACTAGCAATTAGGAAAGCAGGGATATCTGACCCTATATACGTTTCTTTTGTGGATGTAAAGGACAATGATAGTAAAGAGTTTGTTGCTTGAATGCTGGTATTCGCTCCACCCCGTGCTCTCAGATGGGATAGAAGGAAGTTCCTAGGGATAGGAGAGAACTGGTCAGTTTGTTGTCCCTTGGTCATATACCTGCAGTTATTAAACATGTTAGACATAACTTAATACACTCAGAACACAGCGTA